AATATTTACTCTCCAAATTAAGATAATTTAAGACATTATGTTATTGTAGCAGATGAATCATTAAAGAGATATTAAAAAACGTGCCTTTAGAAGCCAATATATTGTTTGTTTGTTTTTTCTCATATCATTACATAACCTTATGACCAGTGTTGGGAGTAACGCATTACAAAAGTAATAATATGCTGAAAGTCCATAGCAATGCATTTTATAATCAAGTTAGTCTATTCTAGAGTTAGGGGCTGTTCACACAGAAGGCATTCTTGTATTCAGTCAATATTTTACTTAAAAGAAGGAAGTTTTTCTGGCATATTTTTTAATTCTTTTATAGGCAAATACCACAATTATAAACTAAATTAATGAATGTTCAATAATTTGATCAGTCTTGCCTGAATCTGTCAATATCCTGGTCCGATACCAATTTTCGGATGAGTATGAAACCATTCTCCTCATAGGCAATTCTCTGTTCTGGAGTCAGGACACCCGTGTCAGAAGTGTATCTGCAGACAAGCCAGAATATAGTTTACAAACAGACCAGGAAACAAATATCAGGACATTATGTAAAGTGTACTTAAATGAATTTCAGCAATATTTAAAGACTAAAACAACAGAAAGCTGACTAACTGTAGGACTTGAGGATGGTGATATGACACGTTTTGTGCAGAAGTGAAGGATGCTCTCTGAATGATGCAGGTTAAAGTTCATAACATTATATATACGATGTCAACAGCACATAATACATAACAACCTACAGGCTATGATAACAACGTAAAAAGGATCGCCGTGCTTTATTTATTTGTAATAGCAAGAGAGTAAGTATAGTTAAATATGATCCAATGTTGTTAAAAATAAATATTTCCATTACTGAGAAGTAGTAAATAATACACCAGGCCTGTTCGCAATGCCTCGGCTTGTGCAGGGCGTGTGATCCGAGAACAGCCCCCTTTCTGAGGCCAGAGCTGCGCTGCTAGAGCGCCGCTTTAGCTTCTTAGATAACCGGCGCCTTGTATTTCATCGCGCCGGTCGCTCGCGGTAAACGCGCCTCTGAAAGGATACGACAGCACCGTGGGACCGATCCAGGTGATTCAAAACCACTTTTAATCTGTCTGCTGCCCGGGACATCTTTAATCCTGCACAGAGTCGACGAGATGAACTGAACTGCAGTGCGTGCGTACTGTATGTTTATATAACTGGGGTAAAGTGCAGTGACACTTGTCCTACATATCATAAAGACTCAGATGAAGTTTGATTTACATTACTCATTAACTAATAAAACGATTAAACTATAGTTAGAAAATATATATGGTTAGAAAATAAAAATGATTACATTTATTATTTTTTAAAAGATGCACAATGTAGCCTATTTAAAAAGAGGATACATAAATAAAATACAGTGCATATAACCATAAATTGTGGTATATGTTTTTCAGAATTTAGATTTAGCAAAAGTAATGTGTGAGCCAGGGGCGTAGCCATCATTTCAGAAGTGAGGGGGACAGAAATACGCCCCTGGTGTGAGCTATCGGACATTGAAAATTGTTGAAAAGTTCTTGAACTGCTAAAGCTGAACATAATAAATATTCAGACAAATTGTAATTTATTGTTGTTTGTAAATTCCAAAAAATGTGGTTGCCAACATAGTTTTTGATGATTAAAAGCTTAAATTTGACTTTTTGTAGAATACAAATTTGTAGAATATAAAATTATTTTAAAACAATCGTAATTATAATCTTTAAAAAAGGCATCAAATACATCAACCAATGTTTGGAAAATGACTGCAAACATTGTTTTATTTATTTTTTTATATTGAATTGCTGAGACACTAACCACTAAAGATGAGATTTAGAAATCGTGCTCATTTTGCATCTGTGCACAGAATAGGCCTAGCATTAGCTTTTGCCACTTTCTCAGATGTGTTGAGATACTTATTCAGCAGAGCTTTGTAGTGTTTCTCAGGATGGCCGCCCATATTTCCCACCTTCCAAGTTAGGGCTGCACAATTAATCGAATTTCTAATCGCAATTACAATTATGTATGCCACAATTACGTAATCGTTCAAAGCGGCAATTAATCGTTCACAGTCCACTTATGTTATTCTGCACGCTTAAGATATGTTTTTTTCTTTCTACATGTTATCTTAAGGGTTTTCCCATTGTTTTAGTTTTAGTATAACATTATAATACCATTCATATTTTAACTTTTTTTATAATTTAAAAAAGAAACCAATCCGATGCATATTTGACATTTGAGGCTTAATACTATAGAAAAGCACTAAAGGTTTTTCAGTTAGAGTGTTTTCAGCTTGTTTATTTTCATATAAAAATACGGCATGCAGTTGCATCAAACAATGGTATAAACATCATTCAATGTAAATTGCGATAATCGTAATTAATAATCGCAATTACAATTTCAAGGCAATAATCGACAATTATGATTTTTGTCATAATCGTGCAGCCCTAATACAAATGCACTGTATGCCAAAGTTTGAAGGTTTGCAACTTCTCTGATATAATCTAACAAGTTCTATCATAGAGCAAGAAACAGCAGTCTGCTCTCTCACCTGGGCACTGTGGGAGAAAACATGATTTTTAATCCTTTTTAAAATGTGTCGACAGGGTCGAGTCTCCAGCCATTAAGATAATACTCGTCTCTCTGTATCTGTTTCTCTCACGTTTGCCTCAGTCTGTGACTCTGTCTTTCTCTCCATCTGTCACTCTCTCTTTCAAAATGTCTTGCCTGGTCTTTGTCTATTCATCTCTGTTTTTATCAAGCTCATTCTCTCTATCTGCCTTCGCCTCCTTCCCGTCACTTCCTCCGTGCGCTCCCGAAGCATTTCATAGAAATGTATCTAATTAGCGCGGAGCTCGTCGTGCAGGTTAAATTAAATTGCAGATATACACGGAGGATTGAGGTCAATAGCTCCATAAAGACCGGCAGAGCTGATAATTGGGCTTGCTTCTCTTTTCCGTGCATGATCAAAATGCCAGTGGACAAAGCGCTGTCTGCCTCGGAGAATGCCGGGGAGAGCGACAGAGACTTTTCTTTCTTTTTTTCTAAAAGAAAAAGGAAATAAAGTATTTTTAAAGAAATGAAAGGGAGAGAGGACCAACCAATCACATCCTGCCTCTGCACACTTCCCTGTCTGGGTCTAAATACCAACCTGTGAAGGGAAGAAGTTGGGTGGGTGAGAGAAGAAATGGTAAGAGAGACCATGAAAGAAAATGAACGAGCAGTTGGGCTGAGCAGTACGCCAGTTTTTACCGTGTGACAGCAGAAATATGTCAGCCTATACGATGTCCAAGGAGGACTATGTTACTTGAAGAATGCTAATTGTTAATCTTAATGACAGATGCTCAGGGGTGGAGTAAATTCAGACAAAGAAAATCTTTTGATTAAGGGATGTAATCCAAACTAAAGAAATAAAACGGTAAATTGAGATAGATACCGCTAATATGATATAAAATGTGAGAGAGAGTGTTTGAGGGCTGAAAGCGGTTTGAGGCGGAGAGCAGTGTGTCGCGCAGTGTTTTCAACTTGTTTATTTTCATATAAAAATACGGCATGCAGTTGCATCAGACAATGGTATAAACATCATTCAATGTAAATTGTGATCATCGTAATTAATAATCGCAATTACAATTTCAAGGGAATAATCGACAATTATGATTTTTGTCATAATCGTGCAGCCCTATTCCAAGTGTAGTAGGCATTGGTTGGAGGAATGTTGGAGAAATATTTTGGCTCACCCTGTTGAAATTAGATTATAAAGCATCTTCAATGAATTAAGAACCAACTTGAAGAATTATTTAATCTTACCTCAAAAAAATATAGTTTGAGCGTCAAATCAAACCTGTAACTTGAGTATCTGCCTTTAAAGAAGTCCTTGAGATCATCAGGCAGAGTTATTAGAAATTCATAAACATCCACCACAGATTTCATTTCCAAACTCTTACTAGGACTGTATACCTGTTATACACAAACTATTATTAAATTGAATTCTTAGACAAGAAGTTCAGTAATTGTTACTTGATGAGACTGGTCAATACAACCTCTCATGCATTTCCAATCAGCGAAAGATCAAGGAAAATCAATGAAGAGCCATTATATTAATTCCCATTCATTTAAAGTGTTAGATTGCTTTGTCAAATTTACAGGTGCAAAAACAATGTTTAGTAAGCATGCCAAAGTTGTTCCTCACATGAACATAAAAATGAAGACCTTACCTGAAATATAAGAAACAAAAATAAAGAAAAGCCACAGTCTTCATGTTTCTTGTGTCTTGATGCGCACTTGTCTTCAACTCTCTTCAACTTCTGCTTGCCCAGGTCTGCTGCTTTGTCCAAACTAGTGGAACCATAGGCTGACAGAATGTGATAGGGAAAACATTTTAGTATTTTGTAATATTAAAATATTTCAATGCTTAAAACACAGTAAAAGATTTTCTCACATATGTGCAGTTTATCAAAGCAATATATTGCACAAAGTATTTTGTCAAAAAAGGCAGTTTTCTCAAAAAGTGCAAATAGCCATTTTATCTTTTTTATTTATTAAAGAATATATGAAAAAAAAAACACTGTAAAAGTGATGATAAAAGGCTGCAAATATGCTACCCTAAAAACCTGTTAATTACTACAGTGAAAATTGGGACATTTTGTGTAATTTTTGGTACAGTACAGTTTTTTACTTCACATTTGATGGTATTTAAAAAAATAATAATAATGCGAGATATTTTTATTAGCAGATCATTTTATTGTTGATGGGTACAGACACTGAATATTCAGAAACAACAGAGCAGAATTAAATTTCTGTTTAAACTGGCTGTGGACATACAGCTTGTTCAAAGCTTACATTAGACTTGAATAAAATATTAAATTAATTTTAAATGATTAAATATTTTTATTGCATATTAACCTTAAAATATGTAACCAAATACATTCATCAATATTTTAAAAATACTTCAAATAATTTGTTGCTCAGACAGTAGGCTATTTACAACACCTCTCTCAAGATGAGAAGAAGAAATCGTGCTCATTCTGAATCTGAGCGCGGAATACAGCATTAGCCTTCGCCACTTTCTCAGGTGTGTTGAGATAATTATTCAGCAGAGCTTTGTAGTGTTTCTCAGGATGGCCGCCCATATTTCCCACCTTCCAAGTGTAGTAGGCATTGGTTGAAGGAATGTTGAGATTATCTGCCAGCCAAACCCAGAGTCTGGAGCAGGGCAGAAGACCCACAGCAAAGTACAGCGGCTCATCATTGTCCATCAGGTTTCTGTAGAACGAAAGATACTTCTTCATAGCTGGAGTTTGCTGAATGGGAGGCTCACCCTGTGGAGTATAAAGCATCTTCAGTCAATTCAGAAGCAACTTGAAATGTTTAAAGTCTTTGTTTTTATGTTCTTACCTTGAAAAAGTATTGTTTGAGCAGGAAGTCTGCAAAACTTTTGTAGCTCGAGTATCTGCCTTTCATGAAGTTCTTGATGTCATTGGGCAGAGCTACTTTTGCACTCATTCTCTTCAACATCTTGGTGACTTTCAGTAGATAGCCGATGTCTTGTATGGTGAAGTTGACGTATCGCTCCGCCTGCAGGCTGCCGTTCTCCATTTGTCTCAGGAAGTCCAACTCGATTGTTTTACTGGCGATGTCTTTATTCTTCTCCCACAGATATTCATACACATCCTCCACTGCCAGACTGTAACTACAACATGAAACATGTGAATTACAACCGTATCTAAGATATGCACAAATCATCACTGAAGAGAAGCAGAACAACTGTTTATGTTAACCATTACAATTTTGCACATATTCATACCTCATAAAATGTAAAAAAAAAAAAAAAAAAAAAACTTCTAGAATCGTGTAAATGGCTCATTAGGACTCACCTGAAACCTAAGAAACAAAGACACAGGAGGGTCGAGGTCTTCATGTTTCTTGGATCTTGTAGTGAACTCGTCTTCAGCTCTTATCTTTAATCCTGACTGTTATTTCTACAGTGAATCAGTCCTTTTATAGTTGTGGTTGATTAGCTAATGCAGAATTGCGCAGCAAGGGATGCTGACGGTAACATCACCGTTTTTAGTATCTGACTGCACATCAATTCCCCGCTTGTGAAACCCGTATTTTTCTCATTTTGAATCTTGCAAGCTTCCTTATCATCCCTGTTGAGTTCCTGTTTAACATCTATCTATCTATCTATCTATCTGTCTGTCTGTCTGTCTCTGTCTATCTATCTATCTATCTATCTATCTGTCTGTCTGTCTGTCTGTCTGTCTGTCTTCCGCTGTTTTGTATTTCTGAACAATACAATTTTAAATACTAAAATGCTTTTAAATAATATTTAATACTTTTAAACAGGTTTAACTTCAACAAAATGCATTATTGCATTTTTTGCATTTTCTTGCTTTCTTTTAAGATTTAATGTGATATTATGCAACACATTTTATTCTGAAGTTTAGAAAATGTCATTTGACATTTCATGGTTTTGTTTTTACAAATTTTCAATAATATTTTCATGAAGAATGGTTTGTGTTTTATCAATATTCGTAACACAATACCATTTTAAATACTATTTAAATACTATTTAACTTGTTTTATTGTCTGTGATGTTTGTGATTCATGTTTTCCCTCACATAAAACTTACATGCCTTATAATACCTCGTAGTTAGTAATTCATAGGTTTCTGACATAAACTGAACGTGTGAGTGATCTTACGTTCACTGGTTCCTTAGTTACATTGATGTGGTAATCAGCTTTTGTAAGACATGACAGAATGAGTTCTTCTTTGTCTTTCTTCTTCTTTTTTTGTCTTTGAATTCCTGTAATAAGTATATTGATTCTCATTATTAAAATGAAATGCAAATGACATACAGTAAAGCTGAGTACATTAAGAAAAAAAGTGTTCTTTCTCAATTTGTAGTATCAGTGTGTGATTGTGAACACGTTTTGTGCTGTTTGTGGTCTTTGTCACATGTACATTGTGAATAATAAAATAACAGTATATCAGGTGCAACATTAATTTTTCATTGCATTCATCTGTTTAAATTTCAATAACTGTATTCCCAAATTATGAAGGAAATGACCAAATAATTTTTTAGAATGACAATATATTTATTAATTGTAAATATGTCAGTAAGTAATTATCATATACGTGATACACATGTGTCAATATAAAGTATACAAGACTGTTCAAAAGTTTGAAATCAATACGATTTTACTGTTTTTTAAAAGAAGTCTCTTCTCATCAAGGCTGCATTTATTTGATGAAGCATACAGTAAAAAACTAAAATATAATTTATTCCTATGGTGGCAAAGCAAAGCTGAATTTTCAACAGCCACTCCAGTCTTCAGTGTCATATGATCTTTCAGAAATCATAATATGCTGATTTATTATTAATGTTGGAAACATGTTGTGCTACTTTTTTTGGAACCTGTTGTACTTTTTTCAAGATTCTTTGATGAATAAAAAGTTAAAAAGAACATCATTTATTAAAAATAGAAATCTTTTGTAACAATGTAAGTCTTTATCACTTTTTATCCATAACATATCCTTGCTGAATAAAAGTATTAATTTCTTTCAAAAAAAAAAAAAGTACTTACCCCAAACCTTTGAACAGTTAAAACATTTTTTTTTTTACAAAAGATAGTTACAAAAGATTGAACAGATAGTTGAACTTCTGACTCATACCATATAGTTGCTAAGATATTGGGCTTGAGGAAATTTCATTTTGTTCCATATATACTGCATATGAATCATAGTTTCACGACAATTGTTGATTATGAAATGACCTGTTGAGCATTTTAGGGGAGACCAGGATTAGTTTTCACAAAAGGAAATTTCCACAAGGCCTATATCTTAGCAACTATATGGTATGAGTCAGAAGTTCAATTACACAATTGAACATAATCCTCTAGAAGCATTTTCCCAACTTTCTCCATATACAGTAATAGTAGCTTACATATCATGTGACATCATGCTACATTTTTTTTCAATGATAGAAATGATTAACCACAATTATGGTACTTAGAGAGGCATATACAGAAAAAAAACATCCTTAAAAATATTTACTGAGCCCAGTCTCCTCTATAGATTATCAATCTTAATTAGGCTATTGCTTTAACTAAAAGCCAATATAATGTTACCCAAAACTGTCAGGACAGAGGAAGTACAATCTGTTAGAAGAGATGCAAAATTGATTAATGACTGGTTTCATTAACAATAAACCCCAAACTAAAACTTTTAAATCTTAATTAGGCTACATTAACTAAATTAATTTAAAAAATAATATATGTGACCCTGGACCACAAACCCAGTCATAAGTTGCATTGGTATATTTGTAGCAATAGCCAACGATACAAAATTATTTTTCTTTTATGCCGAAAAATCATTAGGATATTAAGTAAAGATCATGTTTTGAACAATTTAAAGGCGATTTCTCAATATTTTGATTTTTTTTTTTTGCACCTTTAGATTCCAGATTTTCAAATAGGTGTATCTCAGCCAAATACTGTCCTATCCTAACAGCTTATTTATTCAGCTTTCAGATGATGTATAAATCTAAATTTAAAAAAAATTTACCCATATGATTGGTTTTGTGGTCCAGGGTCACATATATGCTAATAAAATTTCTAATTAGAACCAGTAGGCTCTTACCGCTGCCACTGAAGAACCTTTTCAAGTTCATGAGGTTCAAACCTACAACCTTATGGCTGCCAAATTGGGTCGTAACCACACGCCACGAGCAGATACGTCATAGCGGCCGTTAGAGAGCAGGTGGCGCTGTTTGTCAACTTTCAGATGATTGCGATGTTCAAATAATTGTTCAAGAAGGTTTTCCTCTTCCTCCGATGTCACCCCTAGGCGGAGGCGTCAGTAGACGGGCAGCAGCAGCACCCCTCCCGGCCTCGAGCACCGTCACCAAACGCTCCAGGGAAACGATCGCCATAGTGAACCGCACGCGAAGCGCTCTGCTGAGGATACCAGCGCAAGTTTGACCGATAAAGGTCGGCCGAAGAAGCTGCGTGTTTTTCGTCTGAAAAGGCGGCTTGTGTTTGTGTGTGTTGGCGGAGAGTGGAAAGACGGCATCCGGCCTCCGAGAAGCAGGCGAGGGCAGGGACTCGCGTCCAAACAACGTTTACCGTCTCTGGTGAGTCTTCCGTTGCGTTTCTCGTAACGATCCGTTTAGGCGGAAGGTAGACGTTAGTTGACGCTCTTGTAATGTTTGTCAGTTGTTTAACAAACCAAACTGCCAGGTTTGGGGAGTGTTTGGATCTGATTAAATGTTGTTTAATCGACGGTTGGTTTGTCAACACGAACTATATGTCGTGTTTAAATGCCGTGTTGTTGGTTTAGCTATGAAAGGAAAGCAAACCCGTTGTTTTGAAGTGTTTATTTAAGCTTTGACTAGTGCCGAATTCCACCACCTGGTTGGATAACAATCCTGACAGGCTTTGTAGAGTTGTTTTTGTAGTTTTGTTTCACGTCTGTCTTTTCGTAAATATAATCTATAATGTTGAAATTCAGATGTTGTTTTGAATAAATATTTATAAAAAGCTGTTCGGTTGAACCAGTTGTTATACATGTCGGTGCACTGCAAAGAATGTTAAACAATTTAATCCCATATTTTTCCATCTAAAATGCATTTTATTGTCTGGAAAAGTTTCCAAAAGTTAGTTAAAGTACTTATTTGTTGTCAGAAACCTAAGTACAAATGTATGCGTGTATGTATGTATATGTAATCATCCAAGAATAATAGATGCTAATATTTTTTTGTTAAACAAGGAGAAACAGTCAGCTACTTATTCAAAATTATAATAAGTATGATCAAAGTCGTGCTTATTTATGATCCTGTTTTATATGAGACAGAGATGGCGTAATAATGAATAACACCCTTTAAACATTGCATCTGTATTATGACATTAATGTGTTCACTTAAAAAGAAGGCAGTGCGCATTTATAGTTGACAGTCTGTGCACTTTCAGACTCTTTAAATGTCAACATTTATTAGATTATCAATCACTATTTTTAAATGGGTTAATAGACAAACCCCTGCTAAACCACCGATTCAGTCCTCATCCACACATCCTCCTCCAGTCAAACCACAGGTGACTTCGTAACGCTGGGAAATGTGTTGATGGGTTTAATGAATCGTGAACGTGGACAAATGTTTCTCCACCCTCCAGCAGAGCAAAGGGGGTTGCGTTAAAATCCGTGACTGTGGAGAATATCAGCGTGGTGCCAACTTCACATGCCCTCTGTTATGCCAGGGCTATTTGTGAGTCGAGCAAATGTGGAGGATGAAGACGTGCATGCATTGAATTCTGCAAACGAGCACACATGTATGCATGGCTATGAATGCGTGTGCCCTCTTTGGATGCAATTATGGGCTGGTGGCCAATTTAGGGGTTTGCCATCCCCGGGATGATGATGCCTATTTCTCAATCAGGGGCTCTTGAGATGGAAATGAGGGTGCGTTCCACAGCCTGGCATGCAGCTGTTGCATGGATGACCCAAATCAGGGACTGTGGCTTGGCTGTTCTCAGTCTGGGCGGCTGCATGTAATGTGACCCACATGGTGATGGACGAATGTTGGGTATATGAAATATAGGCACGCCGTTGTGTCTGTGTATGCTCTAGTTGAGCGTTTGATGATGATAGTCAGTGTAACAGGAGGACAATGGGTCCATGCCTCACCCAGATGAAGCTCATGATACAGTTTCACGTCGTGTTAGTGTGTTTTGACAGAGGAGCAGGGTTACATGGCCTTTGTCGCTTCTGGGCCCTTTATACTTGGCCGTCTTTATTGTGGTGGTGGATCATGCTGATTATGCATGGCCCATAAAAAGGCGTCACGAAAAAAGCGTCTCTCACTCTTATTCTCGTGCTTGCTTTCTCACACACCCCCACGCGCACTTTACGTTTTTATTTTTGTCTTCCTAATAAACTGTTCGTATCCATATTTCATCCCCCCTCTAGCTTTTCCAGAGTATGTGGTTGTGTAATGCGCCGTCTGATAGCGTGAAGTGTAAATGTCTTATTTTACGGTTGAGCTGCTTTGTTGGTTGGTCGGTAATTGGCTGTTTTGGAATCTTCAAAACATGTTGAAAGAGTTCCAAGCTCAGGAAATCTAGAATTGAAGTGGTACAATCCATCAAACTGGACACTGTTGCTAGTGAACTACTAGTCTAGTGAACTAGATTTCTACATTTTTATTTTATTTTTTAGAAAATTGAGTCTTTGCTTGTGCAAAACCCATCACCGTGTTGCTAGGGTGTGCTTGGTTGTTGTCAGGGTGTTCCTATATGGTTGCTAAGGCGTTCTAAGTGTTGGTTGGCAGAGCTGGGTAGTAACTGATTACATGTAATCTGGATTACGTAATCCGATTCCAAAAATTAAGTACTTGTAATTAGATTAAATTAGGCCTACATTTTAAAATACTCTGAATCAGAGTACAGTAATAGTCTATTAGTTATTACTATTAATAGATAAATTATTATTAACAGGGCTAGTAATAGGGCTGCACGATTTGGAGAAAAAATCTAATTGCGATTTTTCTGATCAAAATTGCGATTTGCGATTTAAAATGCGATTTATTACTATTTCATAAAAGAGCTACAGGTTTGTTGTGGTGGTTTTAACAGCACCAAAGAAATACCAAGTATTATCACAAACTATGCTACTGTTTATTTAAAACCTCTTAAACATTGTGGCCATTTTTTTTTTTATAAAGTTGTCATGATGCAAACATCTGTCATGACAAATTAAGAAAATAACCTAGTAATTATTCATAAGTTATTGATTCTGGCTAATTCCTTTGTTTCGTCTTTTAAATTTTCCTTTCTAAAATAGCCAACCACTTAGGCCTATATACAGTCAGAAAGTCTTCCATTTTTGCTTACATTCACACAAAGACCTGTCACTAGTCAGGTGGATATAATTACACAGAAATTTGAGAGGCCACACAGCATTTGACCACTGGATTTACAAAAATCATTCCAGTGTTTTCTTAGCGTTCAACATTACATCAACTACTGATGAACATGTTAATTTTAATTTGAATTATCACTTAGAGGGTTATTTAATCATGTATTACTTTGTCTTTCAAACACATTAAAATGCACAACTTCACGTTATTTCTTATTTGCAATTGCATGTAATGCAAGGATTCCCAAACTTTTGTCAGCCGAAAGTCTTTCACCTAATATATTTATTTTAAGTACCCCTGAGATTTTAAAATAAATATTTTAATAATTAGGTATCACATTTTGCTTGTTCACAGTTCTCACTTTGGTTAATGGTCACATGATATGCAGGTCATGTGAATTTAAGCGTTTAAACAGAGTCTGGAAAAATTTAAATGGGGGAAAAAACGGAATCCAGAAAAATTAAAATGGAAAATATGGAATTTGGAAAAAATAAAACGGAATTTGGGAAAAAATAAAACCGATTTCATAGGGCCTTAAAAATTACATTTTTGTTCAAATTTTAATAAATTGCTGTTTAATATTGTAGGTTCCATGATTTCAATTAATTAGACATGCTTTTTGATGAATAAAATTGAATTTAAGCATTAAAACAGAGTCTAGAAAAATTAAAATGGGAAAAAATAAAATGGAATTTGGGATTTCATAGGGCCCTAGGAACCTATTGCCATGCGAGTGTTGTCGGTGGTTACCAATGTGTTGCTATATGGTTGCTAAGGTATTCTGCTTGGTCACTAGATGGTTGCTTACTAGCAGTCGCTCCTTCAAAGTAGGCAAACTATTCTAATTCTATATTTCCAGCTGAGTGTTACTTAAAGGGGTCATATGATGCGATTTCAAGTTTTCCTTTCTCTTTGGAGTGTTACAAGCTGATTGTGCATAGATAAGATCCCTGAAGTTGCAAAGACTAAAGTCTCAAAACCAAAGAGATATTCTTTATCAAAGTTAAGACTCTGCCACGCCCCCCTAAAACGGCTCATTCTAACATGTCAACTTATTCTGTTACACCAAATACACAAAATAATGATCTTTAAAAAAGCATCATATGACCCCTTTAATCCTTTCCCATTGAAAGGGTCTGTGGGAAAGAGACAAAATGATGAAAGAAACAAATTGAGTGTAAAAGTGAGAAAATGAAGTAGCAGCGTGTTTTTCACTCTGGAGTCATGCATTGATTTGGTCTCATGGTGTTTTTGCAGAGCGATTGTTCTTGCTTTCTTGTGTGTTTGTGGGTAAGGTGAGCGAGGCGGAGGAAACACATTGTTGCAGGCATTAATGTAACTTGACCTGTGCAGAGCTGCTAGCAGTCAGGCGGTCGGTTGTGTTATATGAGAACCCGTGTCTCTTGTTCTCTCTGCAGTGGGGTTCTTGTACTATCAGTAGGTCAAGGACATGATGGATACAGTTAATTTGTTGAAGAACAGCTGATGCTCTGCTCTTCATACACAGACATCTCTAACTGCACACCCACACACATCCTCCCACCACACACTATTTTCATACACACCTAGTCACACAAACCAGATACAAAAGTCAGCGTTGTTCCATGTGGTGGTCTTTCTCTGGTCTTTGTTCTTAATCTTGATAACTATCTTTCTCATGTAAACCACCAAGAACATTGTCCAGTGCCTTTCTGAGTGCATCTGAAATGGTTTTTGGTTGAATTGGTTGAAAGAAAGGCACAGTATTATAATTAGGCTGGTTTCGGGTTCATCTAAAGCGGATTAGGCGCATATTTAGAGGATGCATTTTGTGCAAAAAAATTTAAATACTTGGGATTTTGGGAAATTGCATATCAGATAAAGGACAATACGCTATCAGCACACTAATTAAAGTGGAAAAATATGCTATTAAAATAATAAAAAATACAGCTGCAAAAAAAAGAAAAATTAGTGTTATAATTATTTTTTTAAATATATTATTTTTATTTGTTATGCAATTAAATGTCAAGTTATATTAATATTTAATTTTAATAATAATGATTTAGTGTAGTATATAATGTATTATTATTATTATTATTATTATTGCATGTTATATACTTATTGTTTATAATTGTTATAAAATGTTATTATTGTTATATAATTAAATATTAAATTATATTAATATATAATTATTATTAATAGTAAATAATTTAATATTTATTATTATTATTATTGTATATGTT